CCCCCCCCCCCCCCCCCCCCCCCCCCCCCCCCCCCCCCCCCCCCTCTCCCCTCCTTCCTTTTTTTTTTTTTTTCTTTTTTTTTTTTTCTTCCCCCCCCCCCTCTCTCCCCCCCCCCCCCCCCCCCCCCCCCCCCCCCCCCCCCCCCCCCCCCCCCCCCCCCCCCCCCCCCCCCCCCCCCCCCCCCCCCCCCCCCCCCCCCCCCCCCCCCCCCCCCCCCCCCCCCCCCCCCCCCCCCCCCCCCCCCCCCCCCCCCCCCCCCCCCCCCTCTTTTTTTTTTTTTTTTTTTTTTTTTTTTTTTTTTTTGTTTTTTTTTTTTTTTTTTTTTTTTTTTTTTTTTTTTTACACCTCCCCCCCCCCCTCTACCCACCCCCCCCCCCAAACCCCCCAAAAAAACCCAACCCCCCCCCAAAAACCCCCCCCCCCCCCCAACCCCCCCCCCCCCCCCACCCACACCCACCCAAACAAACCCCCCCCAAACCCCCCCCCCCCCCCCCCCCCCCCCCCCCCCCCCCCCCCCCCCCCCCCCCCCCCCCCCCCCCCCCCCCCCCCCCCCCCCCCCCCCCCCCCCCCCCCCCCCCCCCCCCCCCCCCCCCCCCCCCCCCCCCCCCCCCCCCCCCCCCCCCCCCCCCCCCCCCCCCCCCCCCCCCCCCCCCCCCCCCCCCCCCCCCCCCCCCCCCCCCCCCCCCCCCCCCCCCCCCCCCCCCCCCCCCCCCCCCCCCCCCCCCCCCCCCCCCCCCCCCCCCCCCCCCCCCCCCCCCCCCCCCCCCCCCCCCCCCCCCCCCCCCCCCCCCCCCCCCCCCCCCCCCCCCCCCCCCCCCCCCCCCCCCCCCCCCCCCCCCCCCCCCCCCCCCCCCCCCCCCCCCCCCCCCCCCCCCCCCCCCCCCCCCCCCCCCCCCCCCCCCCCCCCCCCCCCCCCCCCCCCCCCCCCCCCCCCCCCCCCCCCCCCCCCCCCCCCCCCCCCCCCCCCCCCCCCCCCCCCCCCCCCCCCCCCCCCCCCCCCCCCCCCCCCCCCCCCCCCCCCCCCCCCCCCCCCCCCCCCCCCCCTCCCCCCCCCCCCCCCCCCCCCCCCCCCCCCCCCCCCCCCCCCCCCCCCCCCCCCCCCCCCCCCCCCCCCCCCCCCCCCCCCCCCCCCCCCCCCCCCCCCCCCCCCCCCCCCCCCCCCCCCCCCCCCCCCCCCTTTCCCCCCTCCCCCCCCCCCCCCCCCCCCCCCCCCCCCCCCCCCCCCCCCCCCCCCCCCCCCCCCCCCCCCCCCCCCCCCCCCCCCCCCCCCCCCCCCCCCCCCCCCCCCCCCCCCCCCCCCCCCCCCCCCCCCCCCCCCCCCCCCCCCCCCCCCCCGCCCCCCCCCCCCCCCCCCCCCCCCCCCCCCCCCCCCCCCCCCCCCCCCCCCCCCCCCCCCCCCCCCCCCCCCCCCCCCCCCCCCCCCCCCCCCCCCCCCCCCCCCGGGGGGGGGGGGGGGGGCCCCCCCCCCCCCCCCCCCCCCCCCCCCCCCCCCCCCCCCCCCCCCCCCCCCCCCCCCCCCCCCCCCCCCCCCCCCCCCCCCCCCCCCCCCCCCCCCCCCCCCCCCCCCCCCCCCCCCCCCCCCCCCCCCCCCCCCCCCCCCCCCCCCCCCCCCCCCCCCCCCCCCCCCCCCCCCCCCCCCCCCCCCCCCCCCCCCCCCCCCCCCCCCCCCCCCCCCCCCCCCCCCCCCCCCCCCCCCCCCCCCCCCCCCCCCCCCCCCCCCCCCCCCCCCCCCCCCCCCCCCCCCCCTCCCCCTTTTCCCCCCCCCCCCCCCCCCCCCCCCCCCCCCCCCCCCCCTCCCCCCCCCCCCCCCCCCCCCCCCCCCCCCGCGGCCCCCCCCAGGAGGAGAATATGTACGCTAAGTCAATTAGGACGTACGAAGGCAGGAGATCTCCGCAAACAGAATCTTACAGAGTCAATGTATCTCGATGTGCAAACAATTTTCAGTCAGTCATAAGGTTGGACGATATGTCGATATTTTTTATTTTTTACAAGAACAAAAAGAGCATAGGTACAGTAATTTTTTTAATTCTAGAAAAACACAACGGATCTTTGAATGAGTGAAATAAATATTGTACCTATTTTTTATCCTGTAATTAAAATGATTACCTGAATATGCTAATAACAGGTGATGATTATCCAATACCAAGGATTTTCTCAGATTGGATGCCTGCCTTGATCTATATTTTATATAAAAAAATAACAACAATTAAATATAAAAATAAAAATAGCCTGTACCTGAGTACTACATAATCACGATTACATTAAGTTCATGTCATTATGTTTAACAAAACAAAAATTTTCCACTTGTCTCTCATCCTCACCACCAATTTCCAGTCCTTCAGCATATAATTGTTATTATATGCTATAATTTATTTGAAAATATCGATAAATTTAAACCATCACTATCGCGAGGGCGGATAATAAATTGGCTCGTTGTCTGGCAGCGATTTTAAATTGACCTCGTAGTTTGCTTCAGCTCTTTGCTTTTCCGATTACTTCACCTTTAATAAGAAAATGCTACTGAAGTTTTCATTTTCAACTGCTTGAGTTACTTTTTAATAAATTGATATTCAATTGCAGATATGTCTTGATTTTCTCTACTCATAGAGATTTCAGTACATTTTGGTAAAGGACTTATCACAGACTTCTATAATCGTATGAAATTAGATGCGAACATTTAACAGTATACCATCATGAGCTAGCGCAAGTAGACCGTCACTTCTTTCACATGGTAGCTTTTGTGACTCTTTTAATTGTCACCAAGTACTACCTTCAGTCTTCACTTTACATGAAGTTTAGCATTACAACGGACCGAATTTCTTTACCATTTTTGTACCAATTTTTAGGAAGGAAGTCGAATTCGTTAACACGCTTCAATAGGTAGCTGGTTCCGCATAGTGGCATGGCATAAACTGTCTCAAATAACGCTCAGTTGTGGCAGGACGGACGTCGAGGTGATCCGGGAATCGAATACTAGTAAAATTAATGTGTAATTCCCAAACCAAGGACATCTACCAACATAAGTCTTTGTGTGGCCTTTTTAAATTTTAATTCGAAACTTACCTGCGTTGATTCTACCGTGCCACTACCTTTTACTCGGACCACGGAACCTCATCAACCCATTGACTTAGCTGATTTGACGTAAGAAACACACTTATAAGTTAGTTAGACATTCCTAGCATGCCAGAAGCAATGCGTGTGGCGCCATACTGCGGTGTGCATTACATACGGGACAATAGTTTGCGAAGTCTCAGCATACATTAGTCCGACTCTCGAGCGGAAACATTATTTGCCGAGACTCAAATGTATTCAGGATTTTTACAAGTATTTTACTTGATTTTCTTATAGTACCGATGTAATCTTGATAAACCAGATAATATACTGTTATGTACATGTCCCAAATTCTGATAAATTTCCGATAAGAAAACTAATTAAAACTCATTTTAAACCTTGTTAATTAGTAATATTGGATGCAAGTTATACTAAATAAAATAAAATAAATCAGTGGCGCTACAACCTCTTGCAAGTCTGGCCCTCAGATTTCTGATTCTATTTCATGATCATTTTTCAATCTAATAGGCAAGTAGGTGATGAGCCACCTGTCCCTGACACACACCGTCGACATTTTAGGTCTAAGACATGTCGGTTTCCTCACGATGTTTTCCTTCACCGATCGAGCGAATGTTAAATGCGCATATAGAAAGAAAGTTCATTGGTGCACAGCTGGGGTTCGAACCTACGACCTCAGGGATTAGAGTTGCACGCTGAAGCTGAAGCACTTTATAAAAAAAAATGATATTAAGGCAGATTATGCCGTGAGTGTCTATCACTTAATCAGGTGAGCGTTCTGCCCGTTTGTCCCATGGTACAGGAAAAAAACGGTATCTTTATTTATCCATTCGTGTTATAAAGGTTCGTAGGATTATCCTATCCTACGAACCTTTACATCACGAATAGATAAATATGGATAACGTAAAATAATTCTTAATTTTCCTTGTGTGTTATGAAATAGTGGTAGCCAAAGTCGCTAATTCTTGTCCTACCTAATTTATGTATTACGAATTCAAATAGACCTTAGACATGTTTAAGAACACTCTGGTATTAGGAGAACAAGCCAAGAAACTCAGTCCGTTTTAATTTCTTCAAACAAGAACTGGCAACGCATGTCCAAGCACTAGGATCAATTTAAAAACGCTACAATGACGTATCTTCAAGTGCTTTCCCCTTAGAATGTCAATAGCCGACATTTGCCGAGCGCTGTTTGCAGAGTACACACAGTGATACTCCCGTTAATTAGGAGCCTGTGCAAATACATTGCGCATGGAATACGTCGCTACTGTGGGGAGTAATGACCAAACAAAAAATGCTTGAATGCATACGATTTACGTTTTTTTTTTGTTAGTAGGAAAATACTTCTGACGGTGATTTGTTTAGCTCCGAATATGATTAGCAGTAATAATGTAGGAACACAGTGGTACCACGATATACGAGTGTCTTCAGATACGAGCCATATTTTGCTTTGTGATGAGAGCAAGATTTGAGATACGAGGAATCGCACACTACACTCTACACTAACAGTTTCTCCCACCTGATGTTTTAGGTGCTGGAACGGACTAATGATATTTCCATAAATTTAAATGGGGATAATTGCTTTGAGATATTAATTGATTAGAATTAAACTCATATGTCGAGATACCACTGTATATTGTAGCTGTATCTATCAACACCGTATCAAACCTTGTCAATAAAAATAGTAAGTAGTCAAATGTCAGTAAAAATCGTAGGGCTTCTAATTTTACATTTACTGCTCTCAAATCAAGCACGTAGAAGAACTGGCAACTCTTCGTCACCTCCAAATCGTTAAGGTTTTTATTCTCTCCTTCTGCTTATTGGACTTTTCATTCACCAACACCATGGAATGCCATGAAAGGGGTTACACCAATAGATCTTTACCGTCTGCGCTTGGAATGTTGATGATACTAAAAAACATAAAACTTACTTGAACGATTGAATGGTCCATTTCGGCCAATGCCCGTAGCAGATGAGCAGTCCGAGCCGCTCGAACGAAGCCTCCACATTGCTCTAAGGACGCACCCTTCGCGAATAAAACGCAGAATTCGGCTCTGGAGCCGCATATGCCTGTGCCGAGAGCAGTTTTCATGGCTTGTCTGGCTGTAGCTCGGTCGTTGCCCTAAAAGTACAAATAAGAATAAAGCCTACAAACACAAAGATCACGCCGAGACGTAGATCGACTAATATTAATTAGTGTTAATATTTGAAATGTTTAAGTGACAAAAAAAGCCTATTATCTATATGATACCTGTTTTGCTAATCTTTTTTCAAAAAATTACTAGTTAAAACTAAAACTGGAAGTGTTTTTGTTGTATTTTTAATTTAACATTAATGTTTACTATAATTGTTATATATTTTAGAAAAGATTAGCATTATGTATGATATAGTGAACTTTAATAAATAAATAAATATTTTGTAAAATGTAGTAAATAGCAATATATATATATATATATATATATATATATATATATTTATGTAATAATAAATATTCCGATATAGGGTCCATGGCAGTTAAATTAGAAAAAATATTTTTATTGTAAAAAAAATACATAGGTCCATTGTGTTAGGCTAAATAGACCCACAGCATAAAATCATGGAGTATAGTAAAAAATTTAAAATAACAGGATGAAAAAACCTATCTAACCAAACTAAATCAAGTTTAATAAACAGCTAAACTTGGATATACTCACAGTATCGACAGAGCATGGATGTGACAAGTCAGCGCAAACGGTCAACAAGGTTTGAATACTCTCGCGAGCCTCTGCTGACACATCAGCTCGGTCGAGGCACCCACTGAGACATAGGTAGCTGAAACAATAAGGCACATAAAACAAATTGCAATTGACAAAAGTCAAAATCATTTATTCACATAGGTAATACAATGTACACTTAAGAACGTCAAAAAATAAATATACATTAAATGCTTCTAACTTTACATTTACTGCCAGTTTTCAAATCAAGGGCGTAGAACGGAAGAGAAGAACTGGCAATAATATGTAAAATCCTAAAAAATACTAACTTGTTATCTGGTTAATTAATGTAATTAATTTTTGACGTGATAACGTCTTATAAATCGATCGAGCGTAACATGACTCATTGTCACGTTGCGTCTGATCAGAGCGTGCAAGCGAGAGCGCGGAACAAGCTATAGAGAGGCACGATCTGCGTAAGCGTTTAGCTTGTAACGTATTTATCTTAAGTCGTTAATAGCACATTGTTACTTGTAATTAATTTGTATAATTTAAGTAAATAAATATTTTAATTAGCGTTGCAAATATATGTTAATATATCGAAAAAAATTTAATCAATTAACTCCTTCTTTGTATTATACAAAATAATGATAATAATTCAATGCAATTCATAAAAGAATCCAATAATTCATCAATGTTTTATTATGATTTTATGACGTAAATTATCGTCCATACACCGACTTTCCAGTTCATATTGACGTGACAACGTCTTATAATTCGATGGACCGGCTGCACACGAAAAACATGACTTGCGGCGTTACCTCTCTGAGGGTTACTCTCTCTGAGGGTTACCTCGCTCTGAGGCGTTACATTTAAATAATAATTGTATTTATGCGTAAAATAAATTCAATTCAATTTATTTCCATTTACCTCCTTTTTTTCAAATACTTAAACAAATAAAATTTAATTTTTTTTTGAAAAATGCAACCATCCCATCAATATTTTTTATGACGTTGTGTTCAACTATCGTCAGTAAACCAATTTACAGACAACCGATTTCATATTTTTTTTCATTCACGGCGAACATACCTACTATATAGGTATCATTTTTAATACTTACATAGGTAAACATGATATGCCTCTATGAAAATGGGATTTATAATCTCATTAAAAAAACGCAAAGTGGCGGAAAAGCAAGCAACGATTTACAACAACAGCCAGTGTTGTGTTTGCATCGTACCAACAAGCTGCGTGTTTGCTTTTCATTCGGATTTGCCCGGGAAGGGGTGGCCGGATAGTTTGTCTTTGATGATTTTGTCTTTGTTTATAATTGAATCTTTTAATTATAACATCTTACGAATATTAATTTGCTGCGAAAGGCATTGCTATATTAAATTACATAACCTAAAATTATTATATACGCAAGTAGCAGATATTTAAGAGTTTTTTTTAACATTAAAATTTCATGTAACGTGATTTAATAGACCGATACACTACCGATATCTTAAACACTAAAACACTAACTAAATAATAATTTCTGCTTTTCAAATGCATAACCATAGTACAAAAAAAATCACCAATCACAAAACATACCAGCAAGACAAATTCGTTCGCGTCTATTATAACGCTGAAAAATAAATCAAATTCAATTCTTTTTAATAATCCCAGAGATCACTAGTGTACATTCGGAAAATAAATTTACAAAATTAAAAATTGCATCTTGGTGTACCCTTGACGCGATCCAATTATAACTTGGACAAATATTTGAACTCTGTTCGATGTACTTGTTGTACAAGATAACTTGATGTTACTTGTCAAAGGGGTTGAAGAAAATTATACCGCGTGATACAGTAGGTATTGTTTGCCAAGCGAAAACGCCTTTTTCACCATCGGTATAACTGGCTCATTAGCCCACAACTTTCTGGCTTTGATAATCAGAAAATACCAGGCTAGACCACTCAGATGTCATTAGAGAATATCGTTTGCGTTTAAGATATTTAAGAATCAGGTTGATTGCCCCAAAAAATTTCGTAAACTCTTCAGATCGCGCTTTGGCCTAAACTCCATATCCAGATGAAGAATTCTGATAACTAGGTCTGGATATCCATAGTTGCTCCCCTCACAAATTGAAATCAATTTTCCTTTAGTTTTGTCACAGTGCAGGTTCAATCTGATATTATATTTTTCTCAAGCACCAATGTGTCAGTAAATAAATAAATTGACAAAATATTCGACAGTATAGCTAATTGTAACATATAAGTAGGATACGTTATTTATAGGATTACTAACGCTAATTAAAAATAAATATCCATTTAGACAATAATTTATTCAGGTTAGAGTAGCAAGTAGATTTCTCATTCGTGTTCAAAACAGTTCGCAGCAAAACGATCATTATTCTTCCGACCGACACCGCTGACGTACACATCTCGAACCCAGAATATTTAAGATAAGCACTATCTTAACCCGTCACTCAACGCGGAGGTCCAATATAAAACTTATTAAACCCAACGCATTAAGGTCTAATTTATAAAGATTTAGGGAATTCCGCCATATCTGGCAACATTATGCGCGACTGACCAATCGGGACGCGGGATTTTATCTCCGGTATTCGAATGGCGCCAACGAGGCATTTTGTTTTTTTAAACGTCGAATGTTTAGGATTGTTTAGCTCGTTTTTCATTCGATAAAGACTTGAAGATTGCTTTATGTTTAGTGTGAAATGGAAATTTAAAGGCTTCGATCGGTATGGATATAACTTATTCTTATTTCAACGTCCTGTAGTTATGTTTCTCAAACGTGATATTTATTCTAATGGTAGGCAAATTATCGAAGCCAAAATGTTTTTTCTCCTATGGACTAATATCATGAAAATAAAAAATTGCTTCCTCTTATAACATTGCAACTAATAAAAATCAAATAAAAGCGCAGGCGCCAATGATTAATGTAGCACGTCACCCAATCGGAGCACGTTCTAAATTCAACCGCGCTAATGGAAGTCGAAACAGCGTACGCGCATTGATCTGTTGGTGTTGCAACTGTTGAAAAATGTTACACGTATAGGCAAAAGCATTAAGAAAACTGTTTATTGATATAATTATGTATAAACTCAATAATTTTGACTAAGGATAGATCCGGTCCGATCCGGTGTCGCCAATTCTCCCTTTACCCCCCCCCCCCTATCTTTTTTTGCAAAATGGTCACGTAGAATAAGGCGAAAGTAAAATTTTGGATAGATCCGGTCCGATCCGGTGTCGCCAATTCTTCGTATAACATCCACTAATTGATTATTTTTGAATAAAAGCAAAACTTGAAATACTTCTTTTTAATAAAGGCCTGCGTGTAGTCTATGGCAGCACGAAATTCGTGTCGATTTGAGAGTAAATTTGTTCTAATTGTTAGTTGTCGTTCTCTACAAATGTAGAAGGAATAAGGCGAAAGATAAAATTTTTGATAAGATTTTTATCTTGTTACAAGCCATAAAAACGTTGTAGCAGTTTGATTTTCGAAAAAACTTAACCTCAGTCCGTACATAACAGTCCCAACCAAACCATTACGATGATGGATGATGTATTTTGCATCCCTTAACTCTTTTCCTTCTTCCAGAAACCCTCGTCCGTATTTCTGTTTATTTATTTTTCAATATGAAAAATTTTGGCGTCCGTAAAGAGGATATCTCGCTGTCGGTTTTTTCCCCCCCCCCCAAAAACCCCCCCCCAGTCAGACTTGGTGTTTTTTGACGTGTACCATCTAAGTCCCACTCTTTTTAATGCCTAACAAATCTAGATACTACTGGTTCCACCCTGCATGCAACTTGTTCGTAAATCTTAAAAGCAAATCTATTATTAGTGCTGGTGTTCTTGCGGAGCGTGGCCAGCCCCGCCAGTTTCTTGTCCTCAACACTGAAGTTGTTCTAAGAAGCTTTATCTGAGCAACTAAATGGATTTATTGATATTTTTATGTGAAACATGTAACGGGGGAAAGTTATTGTTTGTTTAACAATAATCAATTATTCTAAATTTCACTATTTGTAGTGAAAATCCTGCTCGAAATGTAGAAATAATGTGCTAGTGACAGAACTTTGGGACACCAATACGTTCACACTGTTTTATTATTTTAGGAGGCTCGTCGATTTTTGCGTCTCAAACATGGTTTTTTTTTTTTAAAAAAAAAAACTAGAAAAGTTCACATACAGCAACACTTTAAAAAACTTATAGTATTTAAAATGTTTTTTTTTGTGACACAATATAAATTTTCCTATTTGAAAATTATTCATACAGTAATACACAACACTTTAAAAACTTATAGTCTCATCGAAATTTCTTAATAAACGGACAAGTTTGGTCTGTGATATATTAGCTCAAAATACAAGATTTGATATAAGTATATACTTTTTATGATTTAACAATAAGGTGTCTCTTGGGACAGGTAAATCAGAAGCAGGGATCAAATCCTGACTAATATGTGAAAATATTCGTCACGCAATTCTGTGAATCACGTCACGATGGTAATAAATCATAATTGTGACCTTAGTTTTCTCTAAAATGTTGCACTAGGGTTATATATATACTGTTAGGTTTAAAGAAGTTTATTCTATTTAAAAACATACAAGTTACTTACATGAGAAATATATTTAAAAAAAAAGTAAAATGCATTTATCACGCGACCATCGTACGCATAAGAGTTCATCTACCAAAAAAACTTCGCAATTCTAAACAGGTTCACTGCTACTATTTCCCGTATTACGAATACGCAAAATAATATTTTTGTGTATTCGTTTCTGATTTTAGGTAGATGTATGTATTAGTGTTATGCCGGCTAGGTGAGGGATTGAAGATAAATTTAATGATTGTGTATTTGGTTATGTACAATTTTGTTAAAGACTCTTCTCAACATTGGCTAGAGTTAGGTGTAATACGAAACAACTTTCTTACTCGACCGCGAAACGGAACGAAATGCGGTTTTCATTAATGGACAATTATTCAAAGGGTAGGATTAATATAAAAAATAATTACATAATAATAAACAAAGTCATTTCCTACTATCTGCTAAATTCTTACCAAACTACGCTTGTACGGGAAATATTTTCGTATAGAATTTTAATTCCTAATGAAAGGAATTTCAAATATGTCTACGACCAATTAGTTCAAGATATCTAAATAATGTAACTATATACACATTATGATTATAGAACATTAGATGATAGCACGAAAGTGTTTTAAGTTATTTATTTATCTTGGTACGTATACCGAGGGACTTTGTTGGGATGTTGATTAAAGTAAATTGAAGCCTTAATTTAAAAGTGGTTTTGTTATGTTTTAACTGAAGTTCTAACGAACTAAAATAAAAGATTATTTCCAATATTATATGTTTGACGCATTATGCATTAATTTTGAATTTAAAACTGACACAAGACTGATTGTCCATAGCTTTGTCAATAACTAAACGTGTTTTATTGGGGTTTTGGGGCGTGGGAGTGGGGGAAAAAGTGTTATTTTCTCGGGGACTATGTATTTTTGTATGTTCATGACATCCTCTAGCGCGGAAATTTTTTGGAACAATCCCCCCTCTAGTATCATAAAAAAAAAAAACATTAAAAAAAAAAAAATTAAAATTTAGGGGTGCAAAAAAATAGATGATTGATTCTCAGATTTTATGAATATGCATAAAAAAAAATTCATAAGATTTTCTCTTTTTTTTTTTTAAAAAAAAAAAGCTAAAGGGAACTTCCCGGTTTCATTCTGGTTAAAATAAACCCTTAAGAAATACATTTTATTGATTTTAGCCCAAAACAGAAATTGGTTCATAAAAGACAGAACACATAAGAAAATGGCTTTTAATTGATCGAACAAAAATTCTTTTTCCATCCCAAATAGCGCAGATTCTGACTGGTTTTGCCACGGATTGGGCTTTGTGACACTATCTATACAGATTGAAAGTGAAGACAAGCCCCGCGTGCTAGTGCGCTAAAGAACTGACCAAATGTTGGATCAATTACTTGTAGACTGACTTTTGCAGAAGCCAGGTGCGCATTGGCATGGGAGTAACCCTGGATGGCCTCCCTTAACTGACTTGATTTTTTGCTACTGAGCACAGTATCGCAGTTCGAAAAATTCTGCACAAGATGACGCGGTCCTTTTTTTTTTAAAATCACCCTAAAAAAAAAAAATATCACAAGGATACTTTTGGGTGTAGGTGATCCGGTCGCGGCGGTAGACGCCAAAACCACCAAAGTTAACTTAAGTTAATAAAGTGCCTTTCTAGGAACGATGAGATTAGACACTTCCTTATTATTAGGCTTCTCGGCCACGCATCTTCCCTATCCCAGATAGGCGAATAGAAGTCTTAATATAAAAAAACTTTAACAGATGCACAAATCGTAAAACTAAACCATAAATGATTATAAAATGACAACGTAATTCGAGGCGTGACTACGAGATGAATTTATTTCGTTTTAATACATGCAAATGTAATCCAAACAACTTTATTTCGACCCTTTGCATGTGACCCCTTCAGCAACATGTGTAAAAATGAAAATTAAATTATTGCATATTTAAATAGTTCTCGGTGATTATGGACTTATGGTATGTTGTGCAAATCATTGTATCGGGTGTATTTAGGTTCAAAGAATCCCAGGAAAACTATTTCTTTAATAATATCAAACTTTTAAAGTTACAAGAAAAATCTGCAGCCCCACAAATTGTCGGCTGAAAATTTTTATACAAGGATTCTGATTGATTGACAGGATATTATAACAAATAGAAATCTGCAAAGTCCGCTTCCTCCAAAAACCTAAAAATATGTCGTTGTCCTATTGTCGTTGTCAAAGGCCTAAAATGAGTTAATCATTGCACTGATTCTAATTACATGAAAAGAACCATTTGTATTAGACATATTTTAAATGACAAATCATAGAAAAAAGCTACAGATGAAAAATTATAAACAATTACATAGATACGTAACCAATCATAATATCAAAATATATATTATATGTTCTATACTTTTTCCTGGCAATCCTTAAATCCTAAGCCCTGCATTACAGTCAGATCACGGAATGCTAAGTCTTTGTATAGCAATATTTACATATGAAGGGAGGTAATCCTGGTAAGTAATTCTTTTTGAGCAACTAATGCGTTGATAAATGAAATTAAATCGCACAAACAAGTGCCATTCGGCCCGGGGCTCCCTTTCGAGGCAAGTAGTGGCGACTAGGGCTGTGTCATGTCGAAATTATCGGGAATCTACGGTGACTGACTGATGCTTAATACGCAGAAAAATTATACATTATTAAAAAAAATATTACTATGTATTTTTAATTAAGCCCTCGCTAAACGTACATTAATCAATAAAGCTTTTTATAAATTTGATGAATACTTAAATGATCCTAATCCTTGGGATTGATTTGCTCCAGTTCAAACAATTTGTATGACAATACTTGGCGATTAGAAAGAGTGGCGGAAAGTTTCTTGCCAGTTCGTCTTACCCGCTCTACGCCCTTGACTTGCGAACTGGTAGTAAATGCAAATTTACAATTAATTTAACTTTTTTTGACGATTCATAAGTGTACTTGTTTACCTATATGAATAAAGATATTTTGAGTTTGAGTTGAATATATGGTTATTTATAACAGTGA